TCCAGATTCCCTTCGCTGTAAGCCTTGCCGTCTCTTGCACCCCAAAGGTGGGTGGGTGTGGGAGCTTTGGTGGCCCCAATTCTTCTCTGGGGGGTGGGGGGTGTCTCCTGGGGCTGCTGGCTAGATAGACTCCCGAGGAGTGACCCCTTCCCTCCTAGTCCCCCTGTGGGTGGCTGGAAACATCTGCGCATTTCAGCCAGCCATAAAATGCTTAGCCGGGGGTTTCCTTACAAGAGCCAGGCGGGAGAAGCCCTCGCTTCTTTCTTGTGGAGATGGGCACTTTGCATCGCGGGAGCTGCCAAGCGCCTTTGCTGCTACTTAAAGCAGCTGCTGCCGCCACCACCGCCCCTCCTTCGCCCGGCGGGGCATTCCTGCTGCCTTGGGCCACTTTGCTGCGTGGCAGCTGCTTCTACAAGGAGGCGCTGTGCCAGGAACTGGATAAGCTAGTGGATCGCTCGGAAGCCACGCCATGCCCTTTCCAAGGAGGCCTGCGACATGGCTTCCGAGCGATCCGCCGGCTTCTCCAGTTCCTGGCCCAGCGCCTCCTTGCAGAAGCAGCTGCCATGCGGCAAAGCAGCCCAAAGTGGCAGCAATGCCCCGCCGGGCAAAGGAGGGGCGGTGGTGCTGGCGCTGGCAGCGGCTGCTTTAAGTGCTGCCTTGTCTCGCAGCTGGGGCTGCTCTGGACCGCCGGCCGCTGGCACGCGCTCCTGCGAGAGCCTCTGCGCAGTGCCAGGAGGCCGCGGAGAAGCTTCGCTCCGCTTCTCACTCAGCCTTCCCCCAGAGGCGATCCGGGACTTCCAGCGGCAGAGCCTGGAGAAGCAGCGGCCACAGGCCGGGGCAGCAGGCGGGCGGCGGCATCAGGGGCGGCGGGGCACTTTGCATCGCGGGAGCCACCATGCGCCTTTGCTGCAGACCCCGGCGCTTGGCGGCTCCCGCGATGCAAATTCCCCCCCCGCCGCTGAGGACGACCGCTGCCCCACTGAGCTGCTTCGCAAAAGGATGCCCAGCTGAGCCTCACCAGGCATAAACCTCACTGCACGTCACTGTTATAGACATACCAGAAAAAACAGCAGCTACCTACTGTGTACCTCTAAATTATTAGAATTCTGTTCAAATCTCGTTTCAGTTAAGTGTGGCAGAAGTTAATTTCATTATAGAATGTCATATCCTTCTCATATAACCAATAATGGGAATATTTCACTATTATTTAAAATGCAATGTGAAACTCATCAAATGTCTTTATCACATTTAAATTGTAATTTAGTGTTGGAACTCCTAATATGCTTAATAAAACATACACAACATTTAAAAATGTTTTCTGAATACAATGCTATAATAAGCAAGTGATTTTTTAAAAATACTGTCTACAAGCATTGATAATTTTTTAGGTATATAGATATAATAAATATATGGGATATTCAGTAAACTTGACAGTCATTTGCCAATTGGCGAGAAAATTCTAAAGCTCACATAGTTAATATTAGGTTTTATATATTGTTCCAAAGTTATTAAATATCTGGGATTACTATACCAAGGGAAATACTCAGTGTTATGTATTTATAATACCAAATATTACCTATAATAATAGATAAGAACATTTCAAAATTATCAGCTAGATGGAAAATGATATGAGGTAGTTAAAAATATCTATACTTTTATGGAAATAAAGATATATTTATTGCAAAAATTAATGTTGCATTAAGATTGATAGATAATACAAAGTAATAATAGTTCTAGTTATATATTTCAAGAAGATTGGTAAGCTTAAATGTTAATTTTTTTATGGAAGGAACATAAGTTTTGACAATGCTGATGATACTAGCTGATTTATTAACCACAATAGTGGAATGAACATAATATTCACTTCTACCATTTTGGGCACAGCTTGAGAGTTTTACGTTATCACCTTCATAGATGAATGGAAAGTTTTTGGTGCTAACAGTAGGAATTTGGTTTTCCAGCATTTAAAGTAGTTAGACATATCAGGGCATTTATTGGGTAGAAAATTTGAGTGTGATTTTTCATCACACAAGGAATCTTGAATATTCAATATATGAAAACTTTCACTGTTGCAAAAAAAAAGTGATTGTATTCATGAAAGAATATTTATGTCGTAGATGGTCAAGACTGGCTTAAGAAATGTTGTCAATTCCCAGATTTTAGTCTAGCTTTGTGTTGAAGGAGACACAATATAAATCTATATGCCCTGAATTAGATCACTGTTCAAAAATTGAATCATGAAACATATCGTTTCAAATGTCAGATATGCTGTATATTTTACTTTTTGTCCCTTTCTCTTAATCGTCTTTTCTCAATGTTTAGAATCAAATGCAATTTAAGTGTAGGGTTGGAGCTTATAATGCATTCCTTTATTTGGAATGTGTTTTCTTTCATTGTTTTTCTGCTTTATTTTTCCTGATGCAGTTCAATATACATTTATTTTTTCTTTTACTATATATTTTATTTTTTGTAATAGGCTAAACCTTTTTGTAAAAATAAAAGTGTATAGTATTTCATATAATGGTGATGTAATTATATAATTATATGACTATTCACATGCACAGGTTTTTTTAATAAATGGCTATTGTAATTCCTATGAAGTTTAATAACATTATGTTTAAAACATTATTAATATACTAAACATTTCTAAGAATTGTTGAACAATATTCAAACAAGTGAAAGACTGAGAAAATTCATATTCTAACCTTAGCAGTGCCTATTTCACCCCAGTTTCTCCCTTGCTCTAACTTTATTCTGTTACTATTCAACTATTGTATGAAAATAGAATCTCATGCTGGAGATTTATTTGTTTGTTTGCTTGCTTGGTTGATTGTTTTGGTTTGCTATCTGGCATTGAACCAGAAGTCCAAGAACTTTGCTATAATGCAAAGCAGGATTTTCACCCCAAGCTATTCTTTAGAGAATGTACCTCTCTCAAGGCATTTTCTCTACTTTCCAGTGCAGCCCATAGAAAAGTCTCCTTGAAGTCTTCCAGGAATTATGTTTTAGCTTCCAGGCCTAAAGTCAAGTAGATCCATGATGGTGAACCTATGGTATGTGTGCCAGCATTCCAGAGGTGGCACGCAGAGCCCTCTATGTGGGCATGTGTGCCGTCGTCAGTTGATCTTCCAGGTTCTGTCATGCACATGCATACCGGCCAGCTGCTCTCTTCCGGGTTCCAGCGCTCCGGCGCAGGTGCGTGCATTCCAGTTTCGGCACTCAGTGCCGAAAAGGTTAACCATCACTGAACTAGTTGCTGCCTCCTCCACAGGCAATTACACCAACTCACTAAAATTGAGAGCAAATCCATTGAAGTTAATAATACTTAATCAATTCCTTTCTGCTGTTTAGTGTTAACTTTTTATGTTGCTTGTTTGTTTTTAGAACTGATTCTTGGCTATTTTCGACCACCGCGAAAATTTGCAGAAGCTGTTGATTGGTCCTATTCAGGTAAGTACATTATTTGATACTTCACCAAGAGTGCTCAAAGAGTGTGGTCAAAAACATTAAGATGGAAGCTGCAATAGTGTGCATCACATAAAAACAGACAATTGTTTGATCACCCTCTTTTGACACTTTTTGGATACTCCTATTTCACAATGCTTCATTACAACAATTCGACCAGTTGGGGTTTTTTCCCTGGCCAAATCAAATTGTTCCTGTTGGCTGCAGTATGAGCTGATAAAGATCAGTTATTAAAAATGTGCTCTGTGCATCTAATTAAAAATATTAGAAGGTCTTATGATGCTCACTTATTCACCGACTGCATGTAGCCTCTGGACACCAAAGCCAAATTTGACAGCAGTTTTAAGAAACCAGTCATGATTTTGTACTATTTCTAGCATGGAACAAAAAAAGGTGGTAATTCTTGAAATAAGCATGGTCTAATTTGTGAAGCAAAAAACTACTGATAATCTTTCAAATCCAGAAAATAATTAAAATCTTTCTAACCATTCCAACTATTGTGTCTGGGATGACAACATACTTGAAGTGCATGGTTGATTGGTGTACTTAATGGCTAAGATGCTGAGCTTGTCAATCAGAAAGGTCAGCAGTTCAGCAGTTCAAATCCCTAGCACCGCATAATGGAGTGAGCTCCTGTTACTTGTCCCAGCTTCTGCCAACCTAGCAGTTCGAAAGCATGTAAAAATGCAAGTAGAAAAATAGGGACCAACTTTGGTGGGAAGCTAACAGCATTCCATGCGCCTTCATCATTTAGTCATGCTGGCCACATGACCACAGAGACATCTTCAGACAGCGCTGGCTCTTTGGCTTTGAAATGGAGATGAGCACCACTCCCTAGAGTCAGAAACGACTAGCACATATGTGCTAGGGGAACCTTTACCTTACCCTGAGTTACTGCAAAGAAATATTAATTTTTGAACTGCATTTGGCTAATTATTTTTTTGTCCTTAAAGGCACAATCTCTTTTCACTAAAAACACTACTGTGCCTTTTATAAATGTTTGTACTTTCAGGATTTTTAGAGCAGTTCTGCCCTGCAATCTGATTTCCCATGATGTCCCTGAATTTTCTTAAATCAATTTCGGATATATGAGTTGGGTTAGCAATGGGCTGGTGCTCAGTCTGGTCTACAACCATTGCAAGGCATTTGCCATTTTCAATCTTTTTGTTTTTCCTACCTTTGCAGCAAAGCAAAGTCTTGTTAGCTGGTTTACTGGGATCTGTTTAAAAAAAGCGGGGGGGGGGGGAGAGATGCCTTTTCTTTGATATCTTCACCCTCACTACCAGGATTCAGTTATCTCCTTTGAGATTAATCTAGGTTTTTCTCTCTCTTATGGTTCCATAATTATTCTACTGCTGCAGTATTCAAGGCAATAGGAAACATATTGTTGTTTTGTTCCTATATTGCTCTGCAGTTCCATGGAAACTTTATAGCAAGGATGAACAAGTAATTCACTATCATAGAAGCAAGTAGCAGTGCTGCTACATTGCAGCTTAAAGAGGCTTTCTGAAAAAGGGGAAAGGGAAAGTACATTTTGCTTACTGAGGATTGGAAAGATGGGAAATGCAGTGGAAGCATGAACTTCTAGAGTTAAGGATAATTCATTGATTTAAAGGGTCATTATTAGATCAATCTCAATGTGATGAAAAAAATAATCAGAGGGAATGCAAGAGACCAGTAGGTAGAAACTTATGAAAGCTACTTTGTATTAAAATATAACATATAAGCATATCAGGCTAAAACATATGAACAGTTGCAGGAATTGGGTAGGTCTAATCTAGTGAAAAGAAAACTAGGGGTGTTAGCAGCGTTCCAATATTTGAGGGGCTGCCACAAAGAAAAGGAGGGTCAACCTAAGTACCTGAAGGCAGTTCAAGAAGCAATGGATGGAAACTAATCAAGGAGAGAACCAAGCTAGAACTCTTAGGGGAAATGTCCTACAGTGAAAATAATTAACCAATGGAACAACTTACTTCCAAAAGTAGTGTGTGCTCCATCACTGGAGCCTTTTCAGAAGATACTGGACAACCACTTGTCTGGAATGGTATAGGGTCTCCTGCCTGAGTAGAGGGTTGGACTAGAAGACCTCCAAGGTCCCTTCCAATTCCGTTGTTCTGGTATCAGATCAAAATGGCTGCCCATGATAGTGACTAGCCACTGGAGGGAAAAGGGTGTGTCAGGCCCTGTAGCCAGTTGGAGTTGGGATTGCTACTAGGATGAAATGAATTGCTAAAGTGCTAGGTCCTCAACTTGTGACCGGTCGTAAAGTCCTCGACTTACGATTGACAGCTGGCAACAGCTCAGCCGCGCCTGATTGGCTAAGGCATGTCTGGCTAAGCGCGGGCTGTCTAAAGCACTCTTATTGGTCGCCCTGCGTGACAGCTCTAGTATAAATAGCTGTCAAGCAGGGCAAGGTGCTGAATTTTGTACATAGTTGCCATTCTGCTAGTTCTGTTTAGTAAATAGCTGTTCTAGTTACTTCAGCTGCCTCACGCCTCTTCATTCAGCCCAGAATCTAACATAATCCATCTGCTTTGACGGGCTCAGATCAGAAAACAGCAGTTTTGAATCAATGCTCAAATGAAAACATGAGAATAGGCTACTTTTTCAGTGAGCTGTGAGTAAAAGGAGGCTGACATCATCCATTCCTACACTTAGGAGATAATGAGTGGCTCATACTACTGACAGGCTAAGCAGAAAGAACAAATTTTATTTTAGAAGGCAATCAGTTGAGACTTCAAAGAAGCAGTTTGCCCTTTGCTTAAGGCACCAGGTTAGAAGCAAGGAGACTGAGTTCTAGTCCTGCCTTAGGCATGCAAAATGGCTGGATGACTTTGGGCCAGTCATTTTCTATCAGTCCAATCCATCTCACATGGCTGTTGTGGGGAAAATAGGAGGAAGAAGATGTGTTATATTCCTAATCCAACTACCTTGAATTATTTATAAGAAATAATAAAGGTGGGGTATGATGGCCAAGTATGGCTTTTTCAGGCTCGTGCCTCGGTGTACATATTTTTACAATGAGACAAACCGATACAGGAAGATCAATTTATCTGAATATTCAGACAAAGGGAGTTCTTCATTCAAAGAGTGAACCCCAATGTTTAGCTTACAGCCCTTTTTATAGTTAACATAACAAAGAAATCTGAAAAGGAAAGTTGATTGGACAGGATAATAGCATATATGTTTATTAAAATGAGGTCTGCAGGGGAATAAATTGTAAGAAGAAAGGTTATTTAGGGTTCATAAAAGAGATAAGCCAGAACCCAGTTTGTACTAACGAACGTTTCTTATCAGAAGCTTGTTCATCAGTTTAGGAATGTTAAAAGCTAATAAATCTTGAACATCACTTTAAAAGAAAGAATATAAATCAGATTAAATTACAAACTAACTATGTTAGTTAACAAATAACAAAACCCATGTTATTTGCCCCTCAGGTATGAATGAATGAATGAATGAATGAATAAATAGTCTTGATTCTTTTCCAATTGCTTGAAAACAAAACAAGTTTCAGTACATGTGGAGTAAGCTTCACAAGGCTGTGCAAAGCCTTTGAAAGAAGTGCTTCATGTTGGAAGATCCATTTCAGTATGCAATGCTTCATTGCACTAGAGATAATAGATGCAGTTTTGTGTAGAGGTTTCCCTCTATGACTCACTTACATTCTCTTTTGAAACTATTTAATGTGTTTCTAATTAATTAGATTGATTTTTTTCAGAGCTGTTATTATTTTGCTTCTTTCTATCTTTCTCTTTGGGTAATGGAATGGAATAAACTAGCTATGCATGCATAGACACGTAGAAACATCTAGAAGCAGCTGCCAAAGCAACACATAAATCCTGCAAAAGGTGTGGCTGCTTTAATAATGCTTAGTGGTGTCAATCATACTCCCATGAGTTAGAAAATACTATTTTCACAGCCCCAGTTTCTCAGGTTCATGTTGCACTGCCGTTATATCTGGTACCCTGATCCACCAAGAAACTCCTATGATGTATATAAATTAAGTATGAATCTGAGTCACATGGAAAATCAGCCTGGGATGTCGTTTCATGTTCTGTAGATCAGTGTTTTTCAACCTTTTTTGTGCAAAGGCACACTTTTTTCATGAAAAAAATCACGAGGCACACCACCATTAGAAAATGTT